CACTTTCTTTACAAAAACCCTTATTGAAAAACATTGAAAAACAAAAACAATCATTCCAGCAAAGGGGGGAGTCCAGCAAGCAAGTTTCTGTCATTATTTTGGGGGGCCCCTAAAATAATGTCTAGAGATTTGGGGCTTCTTGGATTGCAGCTTTCCTGAAACTAATCTTCAATCTTTGTGTTTACTTTTCTGTTTGAGATGTCCATTGAGATTTGATGATTTTGAAGGTCTTTGAATACAGATTTCTATTTAAGTTTTCATATTTCCATTGAGATCTGATGTTTTTGAAGGTTTTTGATTGCAGATGTCCTTTCAATTAGTATTGCCAGAGATAGCTAAGTAATGATTCCTTTCATTTTTTAGTATTGCCAAAGATAGCCAATAAAGGATTCTTTTCATTTTGATCAATTGATTGGTTTTCTAGCATATTGCTCTGGAGTCTCAAGAGTTGAGGGGGGGGAGCGGCGGGGGGGGGGGGGGGGGGGGTTGATTAATCAAGGGACCACATTACGGTTTGCATCAAAGATCTTTCGATCCAAGAAAGAAGACACACGTTCTCCAAGAAACCGGTCTGTCTGTTTTTCTCCTCTTCTTCGGGATCATTAGCATATCAAATGGTCCCAACAGGTCCAACGAACGACCCCCCCAACGAACGACGGTCTCAGCTGCCTTGTCCGGCCGCAACTCGGCGGTGGGCACCGCGTTCGCCACGCGCTCCAATTCGCCTTGGCCGACGCTGACCGGCGGGTGGAGCGGATCGAAGGCGTCCAACAGCCCTTGGAAAGAGGAATTTTCTGACAATATGAGCAGGTCAAAGAGTCAAAGTGTTGCTTTTTCATCCTCTTTCTCGTCACCTGGCGGTCTTGTCAAGGACATGCCTTCCAAAGATGCGTGTTCTTCGGCAAGTGGTGATTCGTGTCCATGCTCACCCCCTGAGAAAAAAAAAGTAAAAACAAATGGAACCCGAAGCAATAAAACACAACAAAACTCTTTGCAGGGGTTTGCTTGGTTTGCCAGCGCTCCAGTGAGAGGGGTGCAGGGTGGTACAGGGGTCAGGTTTAAAGGACGCACACATTCCATTCTCGCATCACGTTTTGGCACCCACGACTCCAAACTTTGCCTTTTGAAGCGGAATTCACGGCAGCTTTTGGCTCGCTTGATCCAAGTGGCCGATACCTCTCTCCTTGGCAGCCCACTTCAGGAAAGCCTTCAAATCTCTCTTATTGATACCTTAGGGAAATGCAAGAGCAGCATGCACATTCCTTTCAGAACTACAAAAGGTCGCCCCCGATCGTCTGGATGCCTGAACTGTCTGCACGACATAGAAGCGTCTGCTAGAACCGGACAAAAACAAAAACTAACCTTCTTGTACCAGCAAGGCATTGAAGTCGGCGAGTCAGAGCTTGCAAAACATCGCAGAAGTTCTGTCGGAGCGGTCAACTTTACCAACCTCCCACAGAGATCCAGGATTGTCCCGTTCGAAAGAAGCATGCTCAACCAAAGTTTCAACAACCCAAAGATTGCCTGGGGGCTTAGGGCTGTGGGTTCTTAAATGCTGCGCAGCAAAGCAACACGGCTTCCCCTCTTCCTTCCCAAAGAGTTTTGAACACCAAAGTGTGAGCAGCACAAGCAGTACAAAGAACCACCCTGGCTCCAAAAATCACTCACCCAAAGCGTACAAAACCTAAAGCCAACACTGCAAGAACAATGACTAACACGTGGGCCCAGAGAATCAACATGAATTCACGGCATCAATACCCACATGTTGTTTCCTGGGAGCTGACGCGCCAGCTAGCAGGCCAACTAGCCGGAGCTGGCTTGCCCCCCCAAGAACATATAAAGCACCGGCCACCGCGAACCAACATACCGCCACGTTCCGCCACGTGGCCACCAATTGGATTCACGTCCGCTGCACTGCAGTCGTATTTGGTGTAGTAGCCGCGCAAGGCTTCATCCACGTTGGCAGAGCCTAGCTGCGTTCGAAAACGGGAAGCTGCTGAGAACGGGTTCCTGCGAAGTCTTCTTCTGCGGCGCTTGTTCGAGGGTCAAAGCTAGTTGGGTTGGTGGTTTTAAGATGTGTTATAAGTATAGTATAGTATAGTATAGTGATTGGTAATTTGCACTCAGGCTCGGATGAATTGAACTTGCCTAGCAAGCCTGATACAATCAATAGGTGATCATTGATCATGTTGATGCACTGCTTGGCTTCTCGGAGAACTTCTCGACTGAGTTCTTTGCAACATCACCTCTGGGAGGTTGACCACTTCTTGATCCTAGTGACTTAGTGTTTCATGTTGATCTCTTTCTGGATGAGCGCCATCTGAAAAAATGAAACGTCATGAAATACAATGGCAAGAAATCAAGCATATACAACCTCGAAGAACAAAACATATCGTGTGACCATGTGTTGGTACGTGTTGGTACCAGGGCCCCAGGAAGTACCTTGGGCTTCCTGCTCATGGGGTTAAGTTCATGAACATGAATCATGTTCAATATCGCACCCAAACGCTCCATGTATGCCTTATATATATATATAACGACGGCAGACTAGATAGAAAGGCAAAAAAGTCAAAAACCAGGGCCTATAGCCGACCGAGCTTTTGGCATTTATCTTTGGTATTTGCCTCTAAAACACAGCACAAGTGACTTATTTACCGCCCGACCGAGCACCCAAAACATGTCTATCTTTGAGATTTCCATGCATATATCATGGAATTTGATGCGTGTTGATGAAAAGTGCTGTAAATAGCGCAAAATATGAAAAGACACCCTTCCAAAGTGCTGCAAATAGCAAGGAATACAAGGTTTCCGTTCCAAAGTGCTGCAAATATCACAGAACATGAAGGTCATGCCTTCCAAAGTCTTGCCAATAGCAAGGAATATGAAGGTTGTTTGTTTCAACATGTTGCAAGCAGCAAGGAATCAAAAAGACATTTACAGTACTAGTGAAAGTTGAACACCAGGTGCCCGAAGCGCTGTAAATACCAGCGCAAATTGACGGTGGGATGTTCAAAGTGCTGCAAGTCCCAGTGGAACCAACACCACGTGCCCAAAGTGCTGCAAATACCAGTGAAAATCAACACCAGGTGTACCAGCAAAATCAAGATAAAAATCATACATTTCTCAAAACACTGTAAATAACACGCGTCCCAAAGATAGAAATTAAATAAGTCAAAAAAGTAAAAAAAATACAAGTCAAAAAATCAATGTTGCCCCGAGTCAAAATATTTCTATCTATTCGGCCGTCGTTATATATCTACATTGACCCCCAAACCACCCCAGTGTAGGCATATATGGCATACATGGAGTGTCTGGGTCATGATGAAACCACATGAAACCATCTTCCAGTCACCGGTGAAAAAGGTCTTCACCCGCCTAGCACGAGCAAAGAGCCCCAGCCGGGGCCAGCGTCCCCTTGCATGGCCTGCAAACCACGGCGCTTCCACCAAAGAAACACATGTTGCAGCAGTCTAGGCCTCAAGCCTTAAACTGCCAATGCTTCACTCTTCCAAACCAAACTGGACAAGTCCTACAAGTCCTAGAGTCCTAGTTACTGGATGGCACCCCTCTTAGCAAACCTTGTTAAAGGTCATGAAGCATCACACATCTCCGGTCCAAAGTCATGGTGCCACTCCCCGGCAAATCCTGCCCACTTCCGCAAGTTCTGATGCAGCATAAGCTCGTCAGGTTTCCACATCATAAAGGCATATATATATATAAACTGTGTATATATATATATGGAAACAGAAAACAAACCATCAACGAGAACCTCCCAACTCAACGTTCCCTGGCATAGCAAATGCACCTAGGAGTACCCCCCCAAAAAAAACATCTATCATGAAGGGGCCGTCTTGCGTCCGGCCTTGTGCATTCATCAGCACCGTCCTTCGTTTCCCCAGTGTCCGGTCGGCCTGGTCCGTTGCCCAGGGCATGAGCTGGGCCATGAAATAGGCCATCACCATTCCTGGCGACCCCTGTGGGTCATCACGACCGTCGAAGCCGCGTTTTCGCGGCGGGGGGAGCCAAAGAAACATATATGTGCGGGTGAAGGGAGGAGAATGGGAGGGTGAGAGTTGAGAGGTCCAAGAAAGTCCTGGGAAGAACCAGTGAATGATGCACCTCCGCCTCCTCCTCATCGGTGCTATGGAAGCTATAGCCCATCATGTCTTCATAAACCCACCCCCCCAGGCTTAAGCATTTGGACCCATAAAAATGTCATCCTGCAATGGAAAGCAAATGAAAACAGTATGTCATGACCTACGGATGTTGCAGGCTGTCCTCTGCTTTTTGAGACGGGGGACGTATGGATTGCAACTCCAGTACGGCAACGATCAAATGAGCCCACGATTCGAAACTGTTGCAGCTGGAGGAAAAGAAAAAAAACAACGCGTACAATGAGATGTTAATGCCTACTATATACCTCTCCATTTTTCAATCGCCTGATGCGCAGCCTGCCACGCTGAGAGCCGGCAAAACCATGACGTCTGGGTGACTCCACTATCAACATGTTTGGCCAAGTGGCGGCTTCTCGCCTGAATATTTTGCAAAGCCTCAGAGTTCTATATCGCGACTTTTACTATCACACCATTGTTTTAGGGATGGCCGGTCCATTTCTCACAGAAATACTTAGCTGGGAGTGACAGTGAGGTTGGGAAGAGAGAAAATGGGTACAATGGCGCCCTCATCATCTGTGAGATTATGAGGTTGAACGTATGGAATTTCACAACCTATAGGGTTTATAGTTTATAGTGGAAGTTTTATAAAACTTAATGGGCTGGGGGCTACCTGGGATGAAATTTCATAGTTGAATGCGAGAGAAAACGAGGAAAACAAATCTCATCATGTCTAATTTAAAGTCTTGCAACACATGATCCAGAGCTTCGGGAAAGCGCGCCGAAGAAGGAGCTAAAAGCGGCATGACCGCAGCATGTGACGACAGCACCCTGTTGGTGAAGAACAAGGTCCAAGTCATGGGTGTATAGATACCCCCATATCACCCTGCTTCTTGTGAAATGCATTGAACATACGACGCCTAGGCGCAAGTGAACAGCTGTTCAGCTGTTCTGTCTGCTGTCTGCTGCCTGCCAAGAAGCGATGTCCTCAGTGCCACTGGCATTCCAAACTGCATCTGACTTCACCTGGTCGAGAGCACTAGAAAGACTTCATGTCAAACAACGTCGGCTGGCATCATGTCCTGGCAACAAACTTGTGAGGACTGGGATGAACAAACAAGGATGGGTTAAAAACGGATTGTAAAGCAACTCGCCAGGAAATGACACTTCCTACTGAACCATACTGAACCGGTCATGAAACAATTCAACATGAATGACGTTCTTGAGATTTTGACCTGTTCTCAGCTGAGGGAGAAAGCCATGCAGCCCAAAAAAACATATGTGTATCTTTGTTGTTGATCCTTTTGGAACTTGTCTCTACAAAAAAAATGGTTTGGCAGGATGTTCCACCACCCCTCGCCCATCAACGCCTTGCTCTTATCAATCTTGGTACCCTCGAAGTTACCTTGGGCACGAACGTTTGCAGTCACGAAGGCGGACGCTCGCGGTCGCGCTGAGCTCAAACATGTGAAATATCATCAGCTCATGCTGAGAAAATTAATCCCAAACATGTGCGCCTCGCTAAGTTCAACAGATGCACCTCTCTAAGTTCAATAGACTGACAAACACTCCCTAAGGTCAAAGACCTCGTTTTACTGGAGTTGCTCATACAAAAACACTACTCAATGAAGTGAAGGTTTTACTGGGCCTTTGGACTTCTGGGGGCTGAGTTCGTTGTGCTCGCTGAATCGAACACAGACTTACCGCGGCACACTGCTGAAAGACCTTCACGATAGCATCAGTGATCGGCCGGATAGCCTGCAACATGTCTGAGCATCACTGAGCTTCCGTCCATACCGAGCTACCACCGTACCGAATGGGAAAAGCTTCAGTAAGTGATCCTTCCAAAACGGTTGGAAAGCTGAACAAATCTAGGAGTTCCAGTTGTAATCTCAGAAACTAGGGAGTCTAGCAGGCTACTAGCAGGCCAAACCCTCAATTAGTGTCAAGCAATTGCCTCCTCAACGTCATACGGATGGCCAAAGCCCACCGATTCGGCTGCCAAACTGTTTTTCACAACGCTTTTCAAGGCCCTGCTGCACAGGAAATAACACAAAAGCTTTTCAGAATGTGCTGGAACATGCTCCAAGGGCCAACCTTGCATGACTTGCTCCACCTATATAGTTCTATATACACATGACTGGTGGATGCTGGCCACCCACCTGGTCAATATCAGAACCTGTTGTAATGTATCATCCCGAAAAGTTCCGTTCAAGCGCTTGAAACCACCCACCAAATGACCAGTTACAATCAATTACACTCATAGAGCAAAATTGAGGTTTGTCCATCACACTCACATGACTGCCCAAAACTTGAACCATGACTCTTTTCTCGACTCCTAGCTTTCTGGGCGGCTGATTCCAATAAAAAATCATATGTTAAACCATGTTAAACCAACATTCTCGCGGAGCCCCCGGTCCAAACAAACACAAAAAAGCTTCGGAACGCCAACATCTCCATCTCCCGGTCCAAAGACCGTACCGCCGGTCCAACCGGTCCACCGAACCGCCGTCACCCACCGAGGGGCGATCGAGGTGTGATTGGCTCCGATTTGCTTGGCCAGGTTGGCCGCGCGGTTCCGGGTCTCAGAGCCGCTGTGCTCCTGGGTGCAGTGAGGACCGTGTAGTCCTCTTCTACATGGTTACGGCAGGCTATATAGTCTAAATCTATCATTACATTGTGTATCTGTTGGAGCTATAGAGTCATGCACATTGATGTGTGTGTGTTAGATTTTTTACGTCATGAATTAGATTAGATTGGTATGGGCACGGGTCATGAAGCAATTAAGGGACCAGGATTCAACTGGTTTTAGTCACTTGTCTTTGGCAGGCCGCAGATTTTTGGCCCACAGCCATATAGGCCTCATGAACTTTGCATCAGTTGGCATCTTGGAAGTTTAACGCATTTTCCTGCATGTTTGAGAAGCTTGATGAAATTAACTGCCCAATGAGCAAGACTGATGTGGGAAGCACGATCTGCGTCTTCATTATGAAAAATACTGACAACGATAGAGACTGATGTCCTCGCCAAGCACTTCACAAGCCAGTTGAGGTGTACCAAAACATCACTAAATTCACTGAACGTTGTGCTATATGCCACGCCGCATTCAGTGAGACCATGACAGATGGAAAGGGCGATATATCCAGGATTGTCCAGGGATTTGTGGAATTGAAGTGGCTCTCTGAGAAACTGTCTGCAAAACATTTTTCAGAGGATATGTTGGACTTGTCCTCAGTCTTCTAATACGTCTTGATAATGATGGATCGTAAAGGCCATCCACTGTAGCTGGGATAGCTACTATATATTGCCAACTTGAATGGACACATATTCCCTGGAAGGGGATTCACCCATAGATCAACATCATCGCAAAAAAGAGCACAGCCAGGTATTGCCTAAAACACCGGAGTCGACGTCTTTGTTTGGCTGACGACCTAAGCGGTCGTCGACTCTGTTCACCGCCCTTGACTTCGAAGTCTCCGAAGCCATGTAACACGTCACGAAGATCTTCCCGCACAAGTCCTGCGTGCGAAATGCCCAGGGAGAGGGCTTGAGGGTTGCTCACTGCGAAGCGTTCTTCGAAGACCAGGACGGATGAAGGCGATCGCGAGCGATCGCGATCGCGGCACATTCCGGTCGGCTGCTCGAGTCTACTGGTCACCGGATTTGGGCCTTTGGTCACCAAAGGGGTCCACTGCATCACTGGGCCTGCGGATGCCGCCTGTAGGCGGAATCTCCCCACCACCAACTGATGCCAAAAGCACCCATGCGACTCGTTCCAGCTGGGCCTGCCATGAGGCTGGCGTGTAGAAGGGCCTTTTCGTGACCTTCCGAATGTCCGCCAGCACCGCCTTTTTGGACCTCGCCGCAAGGCTGACAGCATCGCCTGCTTTCAGGGATTGCTTTCTAGGAGTTGGATTCCTTCTAGGAGTCGAAGGGGTCTGAATGGTTGTAATTCATTGAACAATGCCTCTTGTTGACAGCTGCTGAGTCGCTTGCAATTCGTCTTAGCACCGCCACGCATCTGCCAGGAATGTAAGCAGTTGACTCCTCAAACTCCAAAAAATAGAGATGTAAAGCACTGTAAAGCCATTCTGGTAGAGTAGGAGGAATATATTTATCAGTCTGCATGATCAGCCAGTAGCAAACTGGCAAAACATACATCATGGTTACATGGCACCATTTTCCCCATGCAAAGTAGCTGGTGTCATTCACTTCCCATGGTGATTCCAAACCCTACTGATTCCAAGGAGACCCCATCCCAACCCCTTCCGAGCCGGCCTCTCAGTGCCTTCGGTCAACTCCTGGAAGACCCGCTGACACCTGGGAACGGCGAGGTCGGCCGTATACGGCCGTATACAGCCGGCCCTCACGGACGTGAAGAAGAGCCAAACACTCCATGTACCAGGGCTTCCGGGGTCTAATCATAACCTTAAAAGCCTTAGATGTGAAGGGGGATCGGACCACCCCCTGACTGGGACCCTTGGGATGGTACAGTTGACCTGGGTTCACTGGAGTCAGGAATTTTGCCAGTGCCATGGAGTGTTCGGGTGCCAGTCTCTGGCAGGTCCTACGACTCTTAAGAACTCTCACGTCTCCAAAAGCCATCTCTGGCAGTGAGGGCTGCTATGAACCCCCATCCATTGGAGTGCTTCTCACAAAGAAGGCACTGTGACGGGACACATCTTGGAACCTCAAGTCACTTCATACCGCTCTTGTTTGGCGGATCCACTGAATGGCTGCTGTGAAATGATGTCGTCTTTTGATCATGGTGAATGATGATATCGGTGGAGGTGTCAGGCACAAATGATCCTTGGGACAGGCGCGCACTTGCTTCAAGAAAATCTCATGGTGTCCTGTCTTGACCCGTATTTTTTCCAACATCCCTCCACACTATGGCACATCTCAATTACCAAGCTCTTCTTCGTCCATGCATGACCTCTTCTTGGAGGTATATAATTGCATGACCTCAGACGCCCTCCAGATCCAGCAAATGGTAAGCCTGCACTGGCACTGACGAGGCACGTCACGGCACGTCCCACCGATCCCATGTTAAGTGGTCACATGTGGCCACTGGACACCCTCCCCACACCAAAAGAACCACACATCGCTCACGACAACCTGAGGCTGCGACATGATGCCCACCAACCTGAAACCGAGCACGACTGCTGCCATGCGTAGTCTCACAGGATCGGATGTTTGAAATGCTGGAAAGCAGAGTGAAAACCAGGTCACAAGGAGGTATATAACTCCGATGAGATGTTCATTGATACCTGGGTCCCACACTGGAGCATTCTAGGAGCAAGAAGACGCGACGAACGTACCAAAGGGCATCGCTACGAACGGAACGATCGGACGCCGCCCCGAACAGGGCTCCATTCCGCCAGGCTGCGCTGCAGTGGAGGAGGAGTCAGCTCCACCGGACAAAGGCAAGAAGTAGCCCCGCTGCCCCGAGCGGCGGAGATAGTCCCAAAGCCTCAGTGGACTGGCGGCGAGTGGACTGCGAAATGGGGCGAAATGGAGCGAATCCCCGGTTCTCCTAGCCTTCCAAGACCATTGAAACCATGGTTGAGCTGAGTAGTTGAGCTGGCTTTGTAGTGCAAAATCCTTAAAAACCAATGGTGGTTCGGTCATGTTCGGTCAAGGCTATTAAATCAATGGTGGTATGTTCGCCGACGAAGTCCGAACACCTCGGTGTCGGTTCGCTGTTTTCGGAAGAAGGACGCGAAGACAGGACGGGTATCTTGACATCCGTGAAGCGTCCATTGGAATGATCCATGATGCCCATTGGAAGGATCCATGATGCCCAGTGAATCCATGGATCCATAAGCCACCAGGACGGGCATCTTGAAATCCGTGATGCTTTGACCCCTCTTTGACCCCTGGGTGGCTTGAAAAGGCTCCATGCGAAGAACTGGACCTGAAACAAACACTGGAGGTGGTTGGAAAAGGCTCCCTGCTGTGAACCAACTGCGTCTCCTTTTTCGATCTGGGACTGCACACCGAGGACCACAAGGCGGCCCACATGCGAGGCATCAAAAAATCAGGACACCCCTTGGTCACCAACCTACAACATCCTACAACATGGTCAATGTGGTCACCAAATGAATCATCAGTCCGATGATTCCATCTTCAAGGTTCCCGGTGGATCCAGTTGCCACCATAGCTGGTAACCAGTGGTTCCAAAGACTAACCATAGACCTGTACGAAACCCTGGTTCTGTATCTAGTGGAAACTGGCATCCTCTGGGATGATTCTCCGAGGGTATCGTTCCTTCCGGTGCTCCGCCTCGCGCCCACGTGGGCTGTCGCCCGCCCTCACGACGGCCGCGGCCGCGGCCGCTGTTGGGCCGAACTGCCAGGCCGACGGGCCATAGGCGATCTCCTCCATGGGTCCCACGATCTTGGGCCTTGGGAAGGGGTCGTGGGTCGCACGTGACAAAACGACCATGTGGGGGGTGTGGGGGGGACTACGGCGCACCACTAAAGGGTCGGTTTGGGAGTCTCCCCCCATGGAGGTGACCCAAGACCGAATAATCGGAAGAAGCTGCAGCACCCACGATGTTTAGCATAGTGGTGCCGATTCACCCTGGAAGTTGAATGCACTGCACGTGACTATATATTAGTACTATATGGCCATCACCAGCAGCCTGTTCTTCAATAGTATGCGGTTCTTCTGTGAGGGTCCACGTTTTTGCACTCAGGGTGCGTTCACGAAGGACACAATGGACACAGCTTGAGGGTAGGGTTTTTGAAGCGAAGTTCGACACTAAAGGTGGATTTCTGCCCTGCAAAGTCTGGGCTTGCCCTATGATCCTAAATAAGATGTTAATCCCCTTCTGGATAAAGACGATACGTCGGGCATTGCAATTTAGAGTGCCAAAACTGCAGCATGCAACCTCCCAGAAGGGTGTGCACTCCATAAAACTGGAACAGCTGACATTGATAGCCAAAAATACAACTTAAAAGTCACAGACCAAGTAGCCAAAATGAAGTAGCACAACCCAGCAAAAGTTTTAACACTAGTTTTAACATCATAGGCCATAGGCCCCTCCGTACTGCAACATAACATATCTCACTAGAGAATTGCCTACCCCAGCCTGCCAAACAACTGCACATCTAGATCTATATAGATATCTACAAAGCAAACGTTGAAGGCTGAGCACTTGGTTTTATAGAGAGGACAATTGCCAGCTTAACAAGGATGGCTGTGATGACTTTATGGAGTGCACATGTTCAATGACGAGAGTCTGCAACTCACAACCTTGAGAAGTCCTCGAAAATGCCAAACAAATTGTGCTCTAAAACTGAAGCAGCCAATCTTTGGTAACATGCAAACATCATGCCACTATAGAATCACAAACAATCAGTCTCTAACCAGCAAAACTGGCCGCATAAACAAAATATTGTTTTTCAATGCCCAACCCCCATGATTTGATAGAGGAAATTGCCAAGGGGATGATACATGTTGTTTCTTTTGCTCCCTGAAATGTCCTTACCAAACAGAACAAGTCACAGGTCTCCAGACACTTCCTGTCCGGGTGCCCTGAAGTAGGAGACCGAGACTGGGTAGGGTAGGGAGGGGCCCGTCTAGCCAGGTGACCCGGACTGGTTTCGCACCTGGTAAGTTCGACAAAGACGATCACATAAGTTATATCCAGCAGTCACTTGGAGGATGGGTGCCGAACTTGGAGGATGGGTGCGAACGTCCACTCACTCCGGGACGAACCAAAACCATCCCGTCTTGTGACTGCTGGATTGTTTCTTTGTCTCTCAATTGTTTGGAAACACCACCTCTGCACGCCGGCCACCGTGAACCAACAAAGACCTCCAGCATCAGGCTGCTCGATGGGTTGAGACTCAGCAATGGTCAGGGGCTCCGCATGGCAACAGCAGAAGTCCACCTCAAGACAACGGCGCAGGCGCAGCTGTCCCAAGCCAATCAGACTAGTGCAATGTCTATTTTTGACTTCCGATTTTGGGTGCATGTCGACGATCACTGTTCAATACTTTTCATGTGCCCCTCGATTCGTCGATATGTCTCAGGCTTCACCTCTAACTCCCGCCCTTCGGATCGATAACGCGACCTCCACACGCTGCACGGTGGGGGTCGAGGAGGCTTGGAAGGAGCGAGCAATGAAGTTCGAGCGCATGGAGCGCACGTCGTTCAAGTTCACGGTAGCCACCTCGTGGCGCTGTCGGAGGCAGGGGGGTCTGCGAACACAGGTCGCGAACAGGGGCCCGCGGAGGGGGGGGGGTGGACCTTAAGAGAATTCGGAGTGGATGTTCTTCCGCGTGATCTTTCCAACCCCCGATCGCGCCGGCGTCCTGGTGGCGCCAAGGAGCAACCACTTCAATCTCATCCTGAGAGGATCAAGGGGATGTGGAAGCTTGCCGCACATGGGAACCCTACACCAGGCACCAAAGAATTGCCCTCCCAAGAAAGTATGTGTGTGTGTGTGCGTGACTTCTTGGGAGAAGGGCAACAAATATAAATTGGATTTGTGGCCACGAAGTGTGGCAAAAAGCATCATCCCAAAAGAAACAGAAAACTACACAGTGTTCACCTGAAAAAAGACAACAACAACCTGGAATTTCGTCTTCTACAGGCAAAGTTAGATCTTGCACACTGACTGAAAGCACAAACACACAAAACAAGAACAAGTCTGCCAAAGCAAATGCACGTGGGCGAGCATGCCAAACTGCGTCCCTTGTGCCAGCAGCTTCCCGTTGCTCCACACCATGCAGCACCCGTCGAAGTAGAGTCGCCCTGCCAGGTGGGAGCTGCTTTGCACCCGGTCGCAGAAAGGGATCATGAATCACCACATGACCAGGCGGAGCCTGGGTGAAGCCGGATGTGCATGCCATTGTTTTAAGGCTCTGTCTGGAGGGGTGAAGCCTCTACCAAAACGACACCCGAGCCTCCGTCACCTCCTTTGACATTGGCATAGAGATACCTTTCGCACTCAGGATGAATGAGGGGACATGCCCGCGTCTCTGAAGAGCAATCTGGTGGGCCATCCTACCTTTGAACACTCCGGCCCGGCCAAAAACCATGGTGTAGCATGGTCATGACACAAAGATATATAATGCGCCCACACGCGAATGTGGTCAATTCAGTGCACTCCTGGTGAAATTTGAATGACTGTGCAACCAACACAGGGGGAACATTTAGAACTCAATTTTACAAACCAATGGCATCCATACGTGTCCCTTGTATGTCATCGTATAAGTCAAAGGTGCGGACTTGATCACGTTCGCCCTCCCCTTGCACGTGCCAACTCCAACGCCCAGAAGTCCATGGATTGTAACCATGCATGATCGCACCACAACACTGACTCCTTAAGTTTCAATGATATAAACGTTTAACGACCCATTTTCCACCTGTTTTGTCCAGGAAAACAATCCCCCAGGTTTATCCGCTAACCCCTGCCCAGGGAAGTCCATTTCCACTGCCGAAGCCACACCCCTCCGCTTTTGGAAGTGGCACCACGCACCAGGTCGATGCGCTTATCCAGCTTCCTGCGTTCGATGTGTTCTGCGAACGAACGAACCCAAGGTTCCACATCATGACTCGAATGACTCCTTCGGAGACCAACGGCTTCAGTTTCGAGTGGGGACCAACCGATGGAACGCCAAGTCCATCGCACCAGTCCCAGCGATCCCACCATTCACATGAAATGACCAGCAAAACGGTGGACCGAGCTTCGAAATGGGTCTAACCAAGCCGCTGCAGTCCATCTCTTTCGGGGGGGTCCGATGCCTGCAGTCCATCTCCGGATCCACGGGGGATCCACGGAAGGGTCCGATCCACCGTGTTTCATTGGACCCCCCAAAAGACACATGGCCCTTGGTCCTGGGATTTGGTGAAGAAGTGAGAAACATTCACTCATCTCACGTGAGAACAATTCATTACTAAACACATTCCCATGGTCCTGGGACGATTTTTGGATTTTTTGGAGAGCATCGTTCACACAGCTGGTCCCAGTCAACCTTCAACCTTCCCTGAGACAGAAGAACTCCTCATTGAAAGACCTGAAAGACCTTTCCCTACAACAAAGGTCTTCGCTTCCCACCTACACATGCCTGATCAGGCTGGCTCTCCCAAACAAGCTCGACCAGTGCCTCAGTTGGTGATGGCTCCCAGAGCCGTTGGCGATAATCTCCACACCTCAGCACCCGAAACCTCGCCGTGCTATACCCAAACGCGGTTTCTGGAGATTTTGCTTTGTAGGTGCAGCTGGGTCCATATGAATGTAAAGAATGGAGCTTTCCATCAAGTGCTGAAGGAGCTCTGAGTTCTTCCTTCAAGTATAGGTGATGGCCAGGAAACAGGCCAGAGAAACAAAGGCAAACCATGCAACATATTCTAGCAAACCTCCCTACAAGTCCAACACAACGCAATCATTGGTGCGACATTGCAATTATAGTTCAGTTCGTCTTAAGCGATTGAACAAGAAACACATCAACTCGAAAACAAAGTCAAAGAGAGTTCTCCAACAAAAGGCCTCCAGAGTGGCCTGTCCATCATTTTAAGAATCTTTGAGCAATTTGAGCTGCTAAAAAATGTCAACCTGCTGCTGTTAGATAATCTTTGCATATTGGATCATATTGGCATATAGTGCTTGTGGATCACTTTGCAGCACCCAATCCCCTGCCGGAGGGGTCGGCCTCGATGGCCACTGCAACTAAAGCATGGTACTGAAGTGAGGGTGGTAGCCATGCCTGCCAAGATGCCATCTAAGGCCAGTTTGATATGTGGTGCATCTGGTGTGAACAACTCCTCGCAAGTCTCTGTTGCCAGGCAAGTATCCTGCAGACGTTCCGGCTGGCGTTCCAAGACATGTCATGCTGAGTGGCTCAGTGTGTTGAGCGACGCGGCTTAGTGTGCTCCGTTTCACCTGGTCCAAAGCACTCCCGACACGACAGCCACTGGGTCAGCTGGCTAAGACGGCCCAATAGGTGGCTCTGATTTGGACCCCGAACATGAGACCTAATGTACCAAACATACGCCTTATACTTACATCACATCCAAAATTGCTGAACAACTTCTTGGCACACCATCTATCTTAAACTCATTGCTTTCCAACCCAGACTCTGGGAGGTCCGCTCCTTGGTGGATACAGCGAAGACTCCTTAGTCGGTAGTAAACGAAGCACCGGGCGGAGCGAAGTTGTTTGGGCCACATGCCTCCAACAATGGCCAACTGCCCTACGAAACTGCAAAGGTTGCAAAAACTGGTAACTCTTGCAAAGCTGCAAAACCATGTAAAACCACCATCCAGGTCAAATGTTGCGGTATTCCATGCTTTGAAGTACCAAGGTACGAATTCTTGGGGACAAGTGGGCCACCATCCACCATCATCCAGTACCAGCATGCCATCCACCCCCCTGCTACTCAGCTGCCCACCAAGTCCCGACCATCAGTCCAAATCCAAGCGTCCGAAGGGCACCTTCGCTTGTCCAGTGATCTCACCAATCTCCCTGGGGAGGAAATACTCTTCCAGTTCGCCGAAGCCTGGCAGTGGCTGGGAGGGCAAAAAACAGCGCCATGCGACTGGGTTGATCAAACCCTCCATATGGAGATGTAAAACCATTCTGGTGGGGGAGTCGGTAATTATATCAACATATATCAACAGTCAGTCGGCGCCGGCTGTGTCGAAGCCAAAAACGGGAGTGGCGCCGAAATGCCGTTTCACGTGCTCGAAAGGACATCGAACACGGGGGAGGGTGGCAGCTGGGGCCTTGCTGCGCGACAACCAGCCCAACAAACAATAGTCAGCCCCATGGAATCGTGAGTGGAAGGAAGCCGCCTGCTTTGCTTGGATCAATGTACCATGGTGTAAACCAACGCATCTCCCGGTAGTTCCCGTCATTGGCCAAGTAGATCTTCGGGCGGATGCCGACGATTTTGCCTGGGTTGAGAAGGAAAGGGTCAGGACATGTGTGAAGGTTGGCAAGTTACATAAACGTCTGTACAGCACACTCAAGAGCCAACAACACATACAATCCAAACATCTTCCACGCACTCTTTTCTGAATGTGGTGTGTCTTTGGTGGATTAAAAGCCCTGAGAGTACGAAGGGGGGTGTAGGGACTTTATAGCATTTAAGTGCGAGTATGAGCCTGCACTTCACTTACTTGATGAGGTCGTCGTTTCTTGTTGGTTCTTGCTAGGTTTTCTGGTTGGATCCCTCTGCCAGACTGTCTCTATGATGGGTGAAAGTCGTTCACTAATGGCTTGGGGAACTGGAGGAGTATCGCTGGCATTTGCCTGAGTCAACTGCTATAACACAGCCCCCCTTTTCTATAATACTTGGATAATCTTGGATAGAGATTTGGAACGTTAGTTGTGATCTGCAAATACATTGCATGTCTTCCATAATTCTTGCTCCACCATGCATGCAGATCACCTCAGGATTGCTCGGAATGGGCCCGTAAGGCACCTGTTTTTGCTACTAGTAGCTTCTTGTTCCTAGTAGCGATGGCCTCCAACCTACTTGCGCCTTTAAGTACTGTAAGGCATCTGTTCAACACACAAGGATTGGACACCAGTGTCTCCTTCATGTCTATGAGTGCGAGGGCTCCAGCTGTGAGGCGAGCCGGACGTATGGCGCATGGCTCAGACTCAGAACTGTTTGGGTTTGATGTTGCAAATTGTGCAGCTGCTAGACGGGTGATTGTCCTGTTTAGAGAACAAGGCACCAAACGGCCTTGCGATGCCTCGCACCTTTGACGGTCCCAAAATCCAACATCTACATAAGTTCACCCGGACCCCTCACAAAACGAAGCTCTGTGACCCTTGTGACTCGGTGCCCACCTGGCCGCGCCCGCGCAAGTCCGCGGCAGAACCATGCGCGTGTCCGCGCGCGCGAGCCGAGTGTGCTGGCGAGGAGCGGTTGACGACCCAAACCCGGCAGTTGTAGGGCACGTTCCGGTGCATGACCTAAGGGCAGGACAAGCTCAGCGAGGGCTCTTCAGAGGTTCTTGGATTCATGACATGGTCCGTAGGTCTGGAGGCTGCACCAGGCACACCGTGGTCTGATCTGTGAGCATGCCGTTCCCAGTGGTGTTCATCCTACCCCACTGGCCGACCGGACTGAGAGATCTCGCTACCGGTTCGTCGACCGAGCGGCCGGCATGCCGATGTCGCACAGGATGTCATCAGTGACGTCACTTCTGAGGATATCAGCCATGGAGGACCAGGCATGCCTTGGATGACAGGAGGATTTGGGAAGTTGAGCCACATACCTGACCGGTTGTCCTGGCTACATCTGACACCTGAAGCCTGAGAATGAAGCAACACAAGGACAAGTCTTTCGATCTGCCTACTGTGTTTGTCAACTCCGAGGGTTTACTGGTACCTGCGTGGGAAACTATGTTCTGTGCACCATTGTAACATGCCTCTGACCTGGGCCTGCTTGGGGATTAGACTCACAAATAAAAAGTCGGGGCTTTGGTGAACCATGTTGCTGCCTCCCAACCTAGTAGCTTCTCCTTACTAGTTGCAATGGCCTCCAACCTAATCCTAATAGCGATGGCCTCCAACCTAGTAGCTTCTAGCTACTAGTAGCTTCTTGTCACTAGTAGTATGCACTCAACAGTTGCAAAACCGAGATCGCCACCCCTGGCTTGTCAAACACTTCGAACAATGCAACGATCGGCAGAACGATCAGCCAACATCAACCCGCTGTTGTTGCGTGGGGCCTGCACGTACCAAGATGCAAGAAGGTATCATTCTCCAGGAACCAATCCTGGACGTCGAAGACGCGACGGGAGACACCACCGTATCTTGTGCCGTATCGGGCCGTATCTTCCTCCGTGCAAAGCTGAATCCAAAACAGTGGACTCCAGCTTCAGCATGTCAAGACATATGTAACATTTTAGTAGTATTTGAGATGAGCAGATCTTTTTTTCCATCGCCTTCTCAAGGAGTTTAGCAGTGCTAAAGGCGAGAAACAAAATGCTCCGCACAGCGGAAAGAAGCGTCAGCAGCAGTGGATCAGCTGCGTCATTTCTCCCACCCACTGTGCAGGGAGTTTTGAAAGTTCAGCAACAAGTAAAATTTTGTGAAAAGCTTCATGATACAGTGGAAGTGATCGCAGAAGATCATCCACACAAGGCGAACCACCCTCGCGATCGAAAAGCAGCAGGCGCAGATGAAAAGTCGACGGTTTAATCCATGCAGTTTGTTCCAAAAGCGTCAGGATGTTGAGCACAGTAAAGCTGGAGAGAAGGAAACCGGATTGCCTCCATCCCTCTGCACGGTCCAGCTCAAGGATGGTAGCCTCTTCCGAAGCAGCAGATCTGCCGCCTTATATTCTTGTAAGCTTCCTGCTCATATCTCTACATAATTAATGATCCTTCCAATGGTCCTTCCAATCAACCCATTGGAAGCACCGCACCGTGTGTTCTCGACCGCGTCTTCTGCCGCACCTCGCAGGTGTAGCCAGTGATTTCTAGCCTCGGTGGTTCGTCGGATCCAGGTCTGCCGAGGGTGAGCTCCAGCCCGTGGTTTCAGAGGTTCGATGGCGCGGTCTCCCCGTTCGATGACTTCTAGGTGGATGACTTCTACTGTAAATTTAAACCTTTTGGGGATTGCGCCATCTATTCTCTCAATCCAGTCGTGTAAACCTAGGTGGCTGCTGAAGACACCCTCACCCCCTTGCAGGACGGAATGTTACATCGATGGGTAGGCTACCAAACAAACACATGGACCCAACTCGCTGGTATGATGATGTATGATCGACGTGAAGCACTCCACTTGATGATTGATATGTCATGTCCATCAACTATAATTACCCCCATAGACTCTCAGTTTATATATATATATAACTATACTATATATAATATATATCATATTGTACCTGACCAAACAGTGACATTTTGATCGATACCATGGAAACTTTGAGCTTCAAACCACAATTGACCGTTGATGGACATCAGCCGATGCCGGGATCTCCTGTACATCCACATCCTGCTTGGGTGCCAAGGAGCTCCGGTCCTGTTCGAAAAGTACAGCCCTGAGCCTTCGCCTCCTGCAAAAGGAGGTTCACTGATTTCAATTTCAGGAGGTCGCTGGACCAGGAAGGTTGACTGGATTTGTCTCGGAGAAAGAGGGCCTGCCCTCTGTGACATTGCAGTGTTTATTATGTTCTTTTCGGAGGTTTTGAGGGGCTTTTGGGGGTCCGCCATGCTTGAACCTCACGATCTGTACACACCCACACCAGCACAAGTGGACGTAAGTTGCTCCTATACAGTAAAAAGCTTCGAAGAATCTAGGACTGGAAACAGTGATGAAGCCTCCTAAAATAACATGTCACTCTCCAAACATCTCCAGGCAACTGGCCAGCTCTCACCCAGAAAATTGGGATCCTTTGGACTCACGTTCGCACGCACCAAAGACTGCAAGCCAGTATATAAACCAAATCAGAGTCTCCAAAGCACCAGCCTGGCCCCCCCGTCCTTGATGGATTCCTTGACTCTTTGAAGATTGCCCTTGAAGTCCTTGGGTCAACCGCAAGGGCAAAATGAAACAACCTCTTACATACTGCTCTGCCAAGCTATATGTAACTCATAAGCTGGTGGAACATGGTGGTCACATCCAAAACTTGGTGTGAAACCTCAACGACCCGCCACACACCCAGTGCACACCATCCAAGAAAACTCCTTCCATGTCCCTACTGGCACCAGTCATTGGTGTCACTAGTGCCTTCCTGCATCTTCCTGCCCTGGTCCGTACCAGTTTTAAGCACGGCCAGGAGTCCATAGCCCATTGGTTCAAATTGCACGTTGCCACTTTGACCTCGGCGCCCAAGCGTTGGGCGTTCTCGGTCGAAGAAGAAAAACACCAAATGCTTTTTGGGGGGGGGACATCTACGTAGTGGTACCCAAATAGATAGTGGCACGGTGTCCAAGACATTTTTAAGTGGGGATCTACTTTTGTCTAAGGTCGTCACAGCTGGCGCTCACATCCCCAAGAACGAACGCAACCATGCCCTTCGCAAAGAACCACGCCCTTTTCTGGCTGGCATCCTACATCACCCCCAAAAACATCAGTTTTCCCAGGGAAATTGTTGGAACCTTCACATAAAGTAATAATTAAATGATGAACCTATAGATGAACCTTCTTTGATCCTTTTTGGCTATTCGTTTGCTTTCACTCCGCTCTCGGGTCAGCTTCGCGACTCTTCGACCGCCAGGTGACGAGCTTCGGGGCCTTGACCGAGGAGCCCGCCCGCGCCTGAGGAGCCCGTGGTGGGGAGTTCAGGTCGTTCAGTTCGGAGGATCTTCGGATCGGATCTTCCAATGCCGAAGCATGGAACATCTCTGCCATATAGCTCGTGTTCTGAATGAACAGGTGGAGCAAATTGAGATGATTTATGGGTCGCAGCCATGACATGCCATGGCCATATGACCTTCAGGACTCTTATTTTGGCTCAGTCGCCACCTCTTCGTGCCAAGCTACATAGAGCTTAGTCAAGAATCAGTGACTGGGACTTGGGTCCATTGGAGCTGTGAGAGGGAAATGAACCGGGAGTTGACAGAAGTGCTGGTTACTGAACACTCGGGGTCCCCAAGATCCACATGTATCATTTGTCTCAACTATAGGGTCAAAGGTCAACCCCAGCAACTCCGGCAAATATGGGACACATTGGCTACGGCTACTGTAGATCATAAACAAATCGGAACTGGCCCTTGGAAGAAACGATAACAATGTCTCTCTAGAAAGAGAGGTGAACTCCACTTCCATGTTTCTTGGGGGGGAGGGGAAGGGATCTCCATGCACTCTTAGATGATGGGCACTATGATGGGCATCTCTGGGCTGTCTGAGGAAAGAAACTAAGGTCCGGGCTCTCCGAAGGGAGCGAACTAAGCGGACATAATTAGATATCACAACGGTGGTGACTCACCATGTTTCCGCTTTATTTTACTGGGCTACACCCTACTCTACGTATTATGTGTTAGATCAACGGGTGTGACTCTTGTGAACCCCCTTCAAATGGCCATCCGGGCGGCCCAATGTACCCTCAGACTGAAAAACGCCCTCATGACTGCAGCCTTCCAGGGACGGCCCAGCTCGGTCTTAGACCTGGGCATTGAAGTAAAAACCTCTGGGAAAACGATGGAAAACGGGTTGATCTCATTATAGTTATATTTGATCCCTACAATAAGGGCCTTTCCAACAAAGGTTGAAGAACCCGAAGTAGACTATCCCAGTTCGGTACCCTGGTAGGGTCCTAGTTCAGGTCACTTAACCTCTGTTGCTTAGTGGCAAAAGTCCTGTTCCTGCATGTTGTGGGCACCTGCACCGAACTTTCTACCTCGGACCGGGTCGCCTTCTTGGCTGGAGGCTCCATGGTCCTGGAGGCTCCATGAGCGGCAGTCGTTGCTCCAGGTAGCTGATTTCGCTTCAGAAGCATATAGTACCCTCCCGGAAACAATGATGGAAGTGGAAAACACCCTGAAAGTACAGGAAAACTGTACCATGATTGGTTCAAAGAACCAATATTGACCCTTGGATAGAGTCCAGTTTGGAGTTACTTCGGGAATATATCATACTATAGCATACTATGTCCCTTTGTCATTATGCATTAATAACTGGGAGATTTGCCAATCAGTGGGGGTGGTTGAAAAGAGGGCAAGGGGGGGCGCATACATTTCATAGATGGGGTGCCTGGGATATCATGTAAATTCCAAGAACCTGTAATAGTGTAGTTATCTAATGCATTTAGAAGGCAACACACTAGGCAACTATTATAGCATGCTTTAACAAAACCACTTTAACAAAAACACATATAAACATACACATCTTGTGCAAAGTAATTATAAGGTATATAGCATACATAATACCTTATCAATACTTCCTTCACCATCCTCGCTTTTAAAGCAGGCTCGAGCCTGTCACATCGGCTCGGATGAAACCATGCAGCACCAAAACAGCTTTGACTTAGAACCGATCCTGAGAAATCCGAGAAATTCGATCCTGAGAAAACAACAGCATTGGAAAGTTGACGTCGGAGAAATCCGATCCTGAGAACCTCACTCAGCCTTGGAGTGAGTAAAGAAACCTTGGAGAACCTGACCTGTCCCTGACCGAAGACCAAATTGAAGGATAGGATCGATAGGATCGTCCGGCCATGCATACTGTCCTGGTCCCAAAAAGACTTTCGAGATCTTTGGGGGATAATGGTTG